TCCTTTCTTCTCTAAAATCCTCCAAAGAATGTCTCTTGGGACCCTATCATACGCTTTTTCCAAATCTATAAAGACCATGTGTAAATCCTTTTTCCCATCTCTATATCTTTCCATCAATCTTCGTAAGAGATAGATTGCCTCCATGGTTGAGCGCCTTGGCATGAACCCGAATTGGTTGTCCGAAACCCGTGTCTCTTGCCTCAATCTATGCTCAATGACTCTCTCCCAGAGCTTCATTGTATGACTCATTAGCTTAATACCCCTATAGTTCATGCAATTTTGTACGTCGCCCTTATTCTTGTAGATAGGCACCAAAGTGCTCATTCGCCACTCATTTGGCATCTTCTTCGTTTTCAAAATCCTATTGAAAATGTCAGTGAGCCATGTTATACCTGTCTCTCCCAAAAGTTTCCACACTTCGATTGGTATATCGTCTGGGCCTATTGCTTTTTTATGCTTCATCTTCTTCAAAGCTACAACCACTTCTTCCTTCCGGATTCGACGATAAAAAGAGTAGTTTCTACACTCTTCTGAGTTACTCAACTCCCCTAAAGAAGCACTCATTTCATGTCCTTCATTGAAAAGATTATGAAAATAACCTCTCCATCTGTCTTTAACCGCGTTCTCTGTAGCAAGAACCTTTCCATCCTCATCCTTGATGCACCTCACTTGGTTTAGGTCCCTTGTCTTCTTTTCCCTTGCTCTAGATAGTTTATAGATATCCAACTCTCCTTCTTTGGTATCTAGTCGTTTATACATATCGTCGTAAACCGCTAACTTAGCTTCTCTGACAGCTTTCTTCGCCTCTTGCTTCGCTTTTCTATATACCTTTCACCATTTTTTCATCAGTCCTCTCCTTGTATAAGGCTTTACAACATTCCTTCTTAGCCTTCACCTTTGTTTGTACCTCCTCATTCCACCACCAAGATTCCTTTTGGTGTGGGGCAAAGCCCTTGGACTCTCCTAATACCTCTTTTGCTACTTTTTCGGATACAACTAGCCATGGAATCCCACATTTGGCTAGCTTCCCCCTCTCTATCCCACACACATTGGGTGATTACCTTCTCTCTTTGAAAATGGCTTGTTTTTCTTCTTTTAGATTCCACCATCTAGTCCTTGGGCACTTCCAAGTCTTGTTCTTTTGTCTTACTCTTTTTGATATGTACATCCATCACCAACAAGCGATGTTGATTAGCCACGCTCTCTCCTGGTATAACTTTGCAATCCTTACAAGTTATACGATCCCCTTTCCTCATTAGAAGAAAATCTATTTGTGTTTTTGACGACCCACTCTTGTAGGTGATCACATGTTCTTCTCTCTTCTTAAAGAAGGTGTTGGCTAAGAAGAGATCATATGCCATTGCAAAATCCAAGATAGCTTCCCCATCCTCGTTTCTCTCCCCAAAACCATGGCCACCATGAAAACCTCCATAGTTGCCTGTCTCCCTGCCCACGTGTCCATTTAAATCTCCTCCTATAAATAACTTCTCCGTCTGAGCAATTCCTTGCACCAAGTCTCCAAGATCTTCCCAAAATTTCTCATTCGAACTCGTATCCAACCCTACTTGAGGTGCGTACGCACTAATCACATTGATAAGTTCTTGTCCTATTACAATTTTGATTGCCATGATTCTATCTCCTACCCTCTTGACATCTACAACATCTTGTACCAAGGTCTTGTCCACGATGATGCCAACACCGTTTCTCGTTCTATTTGTGCCCGAATACCAAAGTTTAAACCCTGAGTTTTCTAGATCCTTTGCCTTACTACCAACCCACTTAGTTTCTTGTAGGCACATAATATTTATCCTTCTCCTCACCATAAACTTCCACTACTTCCATAGATTTTCCCGTTAAGGTTCCTATATTCCACGTTCCTAAACGCATTTTGCTCTCTTGAACTCTACCCTTCTGTCCTAGCTTCTTCACCCTCCCCCGTCTAATAGGATCAAAGTACTTCTTTTGTGTGTCCCGGGTAAAGTTGATAGGAGCATATGCTCCCAAACAACTTTGAGTGGAGTCGTTCGAAAAGAAGTTTCTATGGCCCCCTTGCTCATTTAACACTGCATCCGGGTGCCGATGGAGATACAGCGACCCTTGCTCACTTATCACTGTGCTCAGGCCACACAGCGCGCCACTTACGGGTGACGCCCTAGCTTTAGCGCGATTTTGTTCTGGATTCATTTTCATAAGGATTCGACGTGATCATGGAGTGCCGGCTGTCGACTACCTGACGCCCTCCCCCTCCTCCTTTATCCGGGCTTGGGACCGGCCATGTAAGACATAGGCGGAGTTAGTCTCTTACCTGTAGATGAAAAAATAATATTGTAAAATCGTAGTATTAAGTAAAATAATCCTTGGGCTGTACGAACATCCTTGGGCGTAGGAAAAATCTCTCAATATTGCTAGACGGACCTATATGTAAAATAATCTTCCCTATTTACATCAAGATCATAATTCAAGCGGTTGGAGCGTGTTCTGGCACGTTGAAAAATTTCTCCATTGTTTGACACATTAGCATCAATATCAAAGAGTTTTGGCGCACATATCAACTTCAAGTTATTGGTTGTAAGGAAATAATAACTTTTTACATGTATGTGCTAAGCATTTTTTGTGGAGTATAAAGATACGGGAATATACTACTTCATGAAAGAAAATTATTTTCACACGTCATTTTTCTCTTTTTGTTTTAACTCTAATTCTCATTTGATTTATTTAATTAGAATACGGATGCCAAAGATAAAAAATTGTTGTACAGACAAAATGGGCCATATTTTATGTATCGTAACATAGACAGCTACGAGTTTATATTTTTGGTATGACATTGATAAATAAAACACGTGTTATACCGAATAAATTGATGGAGGAAAAAAAAAATTAAAATAGAGAAATTGAGACGGCCAATCAGAGGTCGTGAGGTGTCATCTTGTCATAAAAGGAAGATGCTTATCCAAGATCCGAATCTACAACTTAGTCGTTTTTGGATAACATTGTAGTGCGTCACTGTCTTTGTAAGCTACCATCGCATATCTTTTCTGTCGTGTTTGTTTTCTTTAATCCTTATCTTATTATTTAATTAATTGATTAATTAATTTACTCCCATAAATCCCATTTGTTTTTTGCTAACTCCACGACTCAATCTATATCTTCTCTTTCATTTTTATTTTTATTTTTCTTGTTTGGATGTCGAGAGAATTAAGAAACTATAAAGGAAAAGAAGTTTAATATAATTTCTTAATTATTTTTAGTGCAAAGCAATTATTGACCATGAATCAAGGCAGTTTGTGTACCAACAGGATCCTTTCCGGATTCTTTTGGTGGGGATTTTGGAAATCAGTAAATCACGTCCGTTCTTCGTACATTATGCGGTCAGTTTGTTGTCAAGTATTATTTGTGTTTAATTTTAAATAAAAATATTTAAAATGATATCTGACTGTACGATGTACGATAAATGAACATGATTCATAGATCCCCGGGATCCTCACAAAGAGGGTGCGACGAGGATCCTAATTCGTTCGTGTACGCTAATTGAGTTTACTAAATTTATTTTATCAAATAACAATGGTAGACTGCTGCATGTTTTGAATTTAGTTAGTAAGAGAAATGTGCTCTACTTTGACGTGAAATCGTTTTTGGTGAATTTTTTTTTTGAAATAAATCCTTACTATAAATTCAAGTGGATCTTAAAAAAGTACTCCATGTCTTTTTTCTTTTTTCAAATCTCTTTCAAAGTCTTCATAGGTATTTGTCTACCCCTTTTGCTTTGACGACTAACAGCCTGTCTCGTAGTCGTATTTTCTAACCGAAACATCAGTAAGAGTTCAGTTCATGTGTCTAAACCATTTTAACTGATCTCCACTAACTCTACAAATCAACCTGATTCATAGGCTCACTCAATTAATTTGAAATTTGATCCATTGAATAAGGATAGAAACGTATACAAACACATCATCTTGTGATCACATTGGTAGGTACAAGTAGCATTCATACAAACTTATGTTTCAATGTTTCATGTAACATCTTGAGCTACAATAGACGACTTTTGGAGATAACTTTGGGTCCGGGGATGTATGAGTAGGACATACAACGTTGGTAAGTCAAAGGAATAAATTTTCCCAATCTTGACATAAGTATCGCATGCCGACTCTTGGTTACAAATTATAAACTGACGCGTATTATAAAGACAAAAAAAATAATGTTTGCAAATGCGTTGAACCATAATTTATCTGCAAGGAGCACAATAAGGAGCTAAGTATTTTTTTCAAAGTTAATTAAAGAGTCTGTTTAGAATTGCTTTTGAAAAGGTTAAAAGTGTTTTCTATCAACAAAAAACTCTTATGAATTGTAATAGTATTTTATGAATAAGCGTGTTACATGCTTTTTTTGAGCATATTTGGCACCAAAATTTATTTTGACAATGTTTAGCAGAAAAAGTTAAAAAGTGATGTGTTTTAAGATGCACTTGCATTTTCATAAAAAAAATTTGTAGTTAATGAAAGTGCTTTTGAGTATAAGTGCTTTTTAAAAATACATTTCCAAGGTGGCCTTTCATGATGCATTTCTAAGAAAGCGATTGAAATTTTAATAAAATTTCTACATGTTTATAATAAAAACACTTATGAATATAAGTGCTTCACACATGTAATTCCAAATAAGCAATGAGAAAGAATGGAACAAAATCAGTGCCACCACCGTAGTTGTGACGATATTCCAGGCAAATTTTGCTGTCGCCCCCAGAGAGGTGGAAAAGTGCTTTTGACTAAAGTGGGCTGTCAATGGGTTGGTTTAGCTTAATATTGGCAAGGAAAGGCGGCTGGGAACATGGGGGGACCAAATCAGAAACCTCAAACAGAGAGAGAGGCATGAGTAGGAGGAGGCATCTTCAATTGCACATTTGGCATCCTCTTCGTGAATCACATGGTCTTGCCAGATTTGAAGCCGATGGATCATACAACTAACATGGCAGCATTTTATATTTTAATTTTTGTTCTTATTTTTTATTTTTTTATATTTGGGATGGTTGGATTTGGTATATTCTGATAGGGGTCCCTACAAACAAATCCTTCTAATTTGACTTGTACCTACAATTCTTGGTGGAAAGAGGACTGTTAGCTTTTTGAGGGCATTTCCAACGCATAGGGAGTAAGATTCTCTGCCCTTCAAACTCTCTTTCCCTCTAGTTAGAAATTTTGGGATGGGAAAAGAATGCAAATATAGGGTTTTTTTTTTTACATTATCCAGTGATACGGGTCTTTTACATCCTAAAATTTCCGGCCAATTGGAGTAAAAAAACTAGGCTTTAAGATGTAAATTGTTCATTTCAAGATAATTTACATCTCCTGTTGGAGATGCCCTCAGAATTGCATATGCATCGATTCGCTTCCAGACTCTTAAGGCATATACTTGCAAAGAATCGGCGTGCGAGATTTGTGTATTATCCTCATTCTTAAACCCGAACAAACAGAGAATGCAAAAGTAGGTCCCTCGTTGAAATTCGGTATGTCACAACTCATATTTGAACAACTAGGTATCAGATCACTGGGGGAGTTGTTTTACAGCTAGAAGAACCGGTATCATATTCATTCATGACTTCTCCGATTCACGCTTCAAAGAGCACTGGGAATCTGGATTGGATGAGCTTTGGGATGGAAAGTAATGGACAGAATGTGACACAATTGCTATGGAGATCCTATTCATCTATTCAAGTTGGCAAATTTTGCAAAATTTCGTTTGATCACATGCATCATACAAGATTCAGTAACTGGAAAACAAAAAAGATGGATGCCATTTTCGAACCACATATGCTCGAAAACAACTATGCATAGGCGATCAAGAAACAAACAAAAACTCATAAGCATTTGACATCATCGCTATATCATATGCATAGCCTACAGAACAGGTCTCATACCGCAAGTTTAGTTGCAGAAAACTTAACTTTCAGCTGTAAATGCAGACAATTCTGCAGTGTAGTGAGTAACAATTGAAAGCTAACCATACTTCATATCATCGTGAGATTTGTGGTACTCATTCATTAACATTGGAACACCACGCTCACAGATTAGAGGGAAATGTATGTGTTTTGTGATAAGGGATAATGGAAAGTTGCAGGAAACACGACAGCAGTCTTTGAAGATGATTAGTTGCTGTTTCTAGTTTCTATGAACAAACGTGAATAATAGCATCCAAGCTTCAAATAAATCAGTAGTATGAACTGTGATGCACAATTTAACGATCTCAACTCGTTTAAGATAATTGTTTTAACACCAAAAATTAGAGTTGTTATGGCACACATTTCTGATCAAGAGGCTATACGGAAATAAAAACTGTAAACCTACTCCCCAACTTTAGATAAAGCTGTAAAAAGTGCTAATATAAAGTACAATGTTTATGACAAACCTCAGTCAAGTTCGTCAGTCTGCTGATTAACTGCATGGACATTCTCATTGTTATTGTTTCCGGTTAAGTGATGAAGCAGCACACCAGTTGCAACACTGACATTTAAGCTCTCCACGGCCAAAAGTGATCGGAACTCTTCAGCTGAGCATGCATGTTTCCCTTCCACGGTTTCAGTATCATCAACTCCACCAGCAGTAATTTCCACGGGAATATTCCCCGGGATTCTAATCAAATCAGTGCAAGATCTTTCCACCAAAGGTCTCAACCCAGTGCCCTCACTTCCCAGAACAAGAATTGTTGGCACACTAGGTGCAACCTCGTTCAAAGGTAAAGCCTTGGAAGAAACAGAACCTCCAAGAACCCGCCAACCATTTTCAGCCGAGGATGTTAGGAACTGCATCATATTCTTGCAGTATCTCAACTCCATCAACTCAAGTGAGCCTGCACTTGATTTGCTCACAACGCCACTCAGTGGGGCTGAATTCTTGGCACATAACACCACCCCAGAAGCTCCAAAGAAGTAAGCCGACCTGATGATTGCCCCCACATTCTGAGGATCTGTAACCTCATCCAAAGCAATCCAGAGAGAACCCTTATCTTCCTCAACTGAAACAGGTTCCAATTCGTTAATTTTCACCATCTCCAACGGAGAGGTATCTAGAACCAGACCCTGATGAGGTCGATTATCAGTAGCCATATTAAGATCATGCTTAGAGACATCCTTTACGTTTAACCCAATCTTGTCAGCCATCAGTAAAATTCTCTCAAAGCCCTTCTTGTCCTTCTTCTTCCTATTATTTTTGCTCAAATCCATCCCTTCTTGAATATACAATGCATAAAATTCTCTTCTTCCAGCTGACAAAGCAGCCAAAACTGGACCAACACCATAAACACTTTGGCCAATCATCCTAGGCACGGATGATTCAGTAGCCTCGTTCCATGTCTTCTTACCCCAATCTTCCTGCCTATTCCACCTTCGAAACTCAGGTCTCTCACGTCCAGGTTTTACATCTTCCATTCCCCTGAGCTTGTTTTGAATATGATCCCACCTTGGATCATCAACCGCTTCCATTTCTTCTTCTTCTCCTACTTCTTCTTCTTCTGCATCTCCTTCTGTATTGGCTTCCTCCAATCTTCTGTCCCTCCCACGGTAATCACTTTGATAATCCTTTACCGCACTTCCCCTTCCAACTACTTTCTTTACCCCCATGCTCAAATGGACCACTTTTCCTAACATAATTTTTTTCTGTATCGGCTTCCCCCAATCTTCTGTCCCTCCCACGGTAATCATTTTGACGATCCCTTACCAAAGCTCCCCTTCCAGTTCTACCTTCTCTACTCCCATACTCTGATACACCAATTTTCCTAACATAACTTTTTCTTGACACCTCCCAAGAAGCACGAACAGTTTTCGACTTTGTTTCTTCCTCTAACATACTTGCTGAATTGTCCCAAGACGACTTACTACTATCTCCATCTAAACTCTTTGCTGCTCCCCCCCCAAGAACCATGATCACTAACTTCCTCTAACCTCTTTGCAGATTCCTCCCAAGACGAAACAGATGTCTTCGCCGTAGTTCCTTTCTCCAACCCTCGTGCTCCCTTAGCTTTTGCTGCCGGCAACCACGGCAGTCTTTGCCCAGCTCTTCCCACACCACTCCCTCCATTTACTTTCTGACCAGACCAACTCGAAAAACCTCGTCCTCTTACAAAACACCAATTCTGTGTACCACTTCTCATCCTAAACCCCCCAGAAACACTTCTGGGTTTTGCAACAATCATTTCCAGAATCTCACAATACGAACCGGTCGAAAACCGAACCAAATGTGACAACCCAGATGTTTTTTTTCACCAAACCCGGATGAGGGTTTTGTGAGTTTGATCGGACTAAGGTTTATTGGGGGTTTTGGATGAGACCCAATTTGTAAAGATTGAAACTTTGAGGTGTGAAACGATTTGCGTCTCGAACAAACCCTAATTGCCAAGGGAAATGCTTGGCCTTTTGCTAAATTCGCATACATTGCATTCACTATTTAAAAAAGAATCAGAAAACTGAATCCGAAAACATAAAAGGGGGCGCAGAGAAAGAACAAAAAACCTGATTCAGAAACGATTTCTGAAGAAATTGGAGGCCTTTAGATTCCCTGTGAAGCTTATCCGCAGTTCAAACGACATCGTATTGCTGAACGGTTCCAGCCACCACTACGAAGCTTTACTGGAGAGTGAGGATGGCGGGGAGGTTAACGGCAGCCTTGGAAGATAAGATACGGTAAGTTGCTATACGACGTCGTACTCTAGAACCTACGATGAACCCGACTGACGTGGATTTGGATGGACAATAATGCCCCTTACAGGGCCAAAACGCACCGACCCGAACAACCCGGACGACCCGGACCCGCTACATATGTAAGGATATTTCCGTCAGAGCACCAAACAAAAACCTAGAACCAGAAGCAAAAGAGGCCCTCTCAACTCGATCTCTCTCGCCTTCTCCGTACAAAAACCTTCGAAAGCAGCGAAAAACCCTCTCCGCCCACCACCGCCTCTCGGCAGAAATATGGGGACTCCAGAAACATCCCGGGAACCGTGCCCCGACCGCATCCTTGACGACATCGGCGGTGCCTTCGGCATGGGTGCTGTCGGTGGGTCCGCCTTCCACTTCCTCAAGGGCGTCTACCACTCCCCATCCGGCTCCCGGTTCATCGGCGGATCCCAGGCCGTCCGGATGAACGCACCGCGCGTTGGCGGGAGCTTCGCCGTCTGGGGAGGCCTTTTCTCCGCCTTCGACTGCACCATGGTCTACGTCCGCCAGAAGGAGGACCCCTGGAACTCCATCATCGCCGGCGCCGCCACCGGTGGCTTCCTCCAGATGCGCCAGGGGCTTGGCGCCTCGGCCCGATCGGCCGCCTTCGGTGGCGTTCTCTTAGCGCTGATTGAAGGAGCTGGGATCATGCTTAATAAGTTTATGAGCCAACAGCAGCAGATGCCAGTTGTTATTGAAGAACCGGCGAATATGCCCGGTGTGCCTGGTCTTCCTCCGATGGGCCGGGCTCCAGGTCAGCCAGGCCCACCGGAGATGGCAACGTCTGTTAGCGGCGGCTCTGAGGCGAATTCGAGCTCAGGATCGTGGTTTGGAGGGCTGTTTGGAAAGGGTAATGAGCCTGAGGCTAAGAGCAGCGGAAGCGAGACGAAGGTTTTGGAGAGTTTCGATGCACCGCCAGTTCCAACCTTCGAGTTTAAGTGATTGATCGAATGATTAAGGTACGGATTAAGGAGGAAGGGTTTTGATTAAAAGGATGATTGAACTGAGGAATTTGGGAAAGTTAAGGTTTTTATTGCTAATTTTCGCAGAAAAGATATGTTTATGTTGTGTTCTGTCTTTTACTAGTTTTTTGGAATAACCAAGAAGTTATAGCTTGTATTATAACGCCTTTTGAATTCAAATTTGATTTCTTGCTTGAATTGTTCTTCGAGCCGCGGATTAAGTTGTGTACTGGAGATGCTTTTGATATGCAGAAGAATGCTTTGCAATAACTTTCGCGGATTAGGAGTGCTCGGAATTTGCATACATTGGATTGTTTTCGCCTAATTGTTGTGGAAATTGTGATAATTTTGTTGTGACTTGGTTTAGGATTTGCATGCTGGCCTTGGTGCTTGTTTGCTTGATCATCGCTTTTCTGTAATTCTTGTGTTCATGCTTTGAGAATCGACTATTTTACACAAATTTGTCCTGGTTATATGGATATTGAACGCTTTGGGAACCAGTTGTTGCGTTGAGGCTCGTAAGGTTCACAGAGAGTAGATGTGAATAGCATCATTCAAGTTTAAGTCATGCCCGGATTTGTGAACTGCTTGATGTTCTTGTTTATGCATGTCGAGATTGATGTGATCAATATGTAGAGAAGGAAATCCCCTTCCTTTGAGAAGTAAGCCAGATTGTTTATGTTACGTTGTTCCTCTCAATTTCAAAGCAAAAATATTGTGTGTGCCATATTTGTCCTGTCCTTTATGCCCTGAATAGAACGTTGCTGAATTCGTATGCGTTATAGTCTATGATTCTGCAAATATTTGGATTTCTGAAACTACCGAGTGGCGTTGTAGTCTGTGATTCTTTGATTTTGGCCATTGATTAATTAGTGGTTCTGTCTTTTTGTTCTTTCAGTGGACAAAGAGCCTAAGACAGCTATCCAATTTTCAGTTTTGTTTCGAGGCGCTTGAAGAGCAGTACATAGTAGAGACACGAAGCTCGCAACACCCATGTCGAAAGAAGATGGGTAAACTCAATCAGTTTGGTTTTCCTAGGTTAACTATTAAGATCATTGTTATAGTCTGGCTGGTTTACTAGTTCCAAATAATTATTTGAAGGTTATATTTTCGGGATTGTACGTTATACTCTGGCCGGATAACTAGTTCGAGGATGATTGTTACTTTCGTGTTTGCATTAATGTGAAATTAGTTAGCCTTCGTATACATTCGAATGCGAATGACTTGGTTTCTGAACAGGTTGTATGGTGTGGAACATTAGAACCTGACCAAATTGGTTCTTTTGTTTCATACAGCGCAGCGGAATATGAATCGTGCAGCGCCAGGACTTTCTTGAATCAATGCCGGTCTTACGCTTACCTCTCTCGTGTTTATTTGATTGTTAACTCCATTCGACACTTCTGCTTTTCGATTTCTTCTTCGTCTTATGGTTTACTATCAAGGACTAGTGCTACATTTTGCTTCTCCGTTTCGCCCAAATCAGACGAAATGACCAAAATGGTTTACCAGAACTAAACTATCAAAATTGAAATCGAACAAAACTTAACGATCGTAAGGGTATTTACGGAAATACATGGTTCTCGCCCTTGCATTTGATATCAATGGTGAATAATAACAAATGTGTTTCTTATCTCGAATTAAAAAATATGTGACCATGAATCTTTTGATCGTCATGTGATTAAGAGAACAGAACTCGTAATTTGATTATTTTTTCTCAAATCACAGCCCAAATATCTCAATCCTTCAAACTTGTCCAAGCAGACCCAAAAGACAGTTATGTTTGGCGGGTTTGAGCCCCGAACTTGCGCTCCCACCTTGGATAACCTGCCACGTCACCAGTTGCTCTAACAGGAGCCGTTGGATTTTAAACGAATTTGCAACAGAAATGTCACCGTCGGCTTTAGATAACGCAAATGACAAAACTCAAAATAGTCAAACTCTTTCCACTTCCACTCCTCCGTCTACTCTCACACTCCACCAGGACCGCCACTCTCTCCCTCCTCCTCCGCCGTCGCAACATGGCCACCGTCGCGTCATCCGATTCCCCCATAAGTCCGTCAAACACCCGGGTCGGGTGGATCGGGACCGGCGTTATGGGCCGGTTCATGTGCACCCACCTCCTCAAGGCCGGCTACGCCTTCACCGTCTTCAACCGCACCCTCTCCAAGGCCCAGCCTCTAGTCGACCTCGGGGCCCACCTGGCCGACTCCCCAAGCGCCGTCGCCTCCAAATCCGACGTCGTCTTTTCCATCGTCGGCTACCCCTCCGACGTCCGCTCCGTCCTCCTCGACCCCACCACCGGCGCACTCTCCGGACTCCGCCCCGGAGGCATCCTTGTCGACATGACCACCTCCGAACCCTCCCTCGCCGTCGAGATCTCCTCCGCCGCTGAGTCCAAATCCTGCTCAGCTGTCGATGCCCCCGTCACCGGCGGCGACGTTGGCGCCAAGAACGGAACTCTTGCGATCCTCGCCGGCGGCGACGAAAACACCGTCCGCAAGCTAACCCCTCTGTTCTCTCTCATGGGCAAAGTGAATTATATGGGCGGCGCCGGAAAGGGACAGTTCGCGAAGCTGGCGAACCAGACGATCATCGCTTCCACGATGGTGGGTCTGGTGGAGGGTATGATCTTCGCCCACAAGTCCGGCCTCGACGTGGGTCTTTTCCTAGATGCGATCAAAGTGGGCGCCGCAGGGTCGAAGTCGCTGGATTTGTACGGCGGCCGGATTCTGAAGAGGGATTTGGAGCCGGGATTCTATGTGAACCACTTCGTGAAAGATTTGGGGATTTGCTTGAAGGAGTGCCAGAAGATGGGACTTGCTCTTCCCGGATTAGCCCTAGCTCAGCAGCTTTATCTGTCGCTGAAGGCTCACGGCGAGGGCAATTTGGGAACTCAGGCGCTTATTGTGGCGGTGGAGCGGCTGAATAATGTGTCACTTGAATACGCTCCTGCAAAATAATGACTCTGCAAGTGCAGTTTGAATCATTTCTTATGATGGTATCGATGCTTTTCTTCGATTTCTTGTTGAAATTTCAGTTTTTTTAACTTTGTACTGTGATGTTTCTTGCTCCAATGCTTATAGTGTGAAATGGTTTTCTCATAACAAATTAAGCAATTGTGTTTAGTTTCTTCAATATATGGTTGAAACTTTTGCAGACGTGGGTTAGGCTAGTTAGCTAGGGTAGTTTGTCCGTCCCCGAAGTTTAGATTGCTAGATGGATTGTGTTTAACTGTATGTAAGCACCTGCTGGTGGGAAAGCTCAATGAGTTTATCAGCAAGTGCTTTTGCACACTTTCAGCTTGATGTTTGACCCGAAAAACTAACAAATGGTGATGCAAGTTTTAGCGGTTATTGTGAAACCAGTATATTGGTTCTTGCCTGGCATTGGATTGATTCTTGATTACCAGTTATAAACTTATAACGAGTGCGCCCTTTAGTGGCACCATTCTGTATTAGCTGGGACTTCAGGAATTTACAACTGCAGGTGAGATAACAGGTTCAGTCGTATGAGCTCAGTGCAAGCCTGACACGAGATCTCTGTTTGAAATATCAGGGAGGGCACACACGGTGGTCACGCCCAAATTTAGGTATTTCTTGTGTTCATATGTTTCTTTTCCACATATCTTTTTAAGGCATGTCTGCATTCTTTCTGTCTGAGCTCGGAGAAAGTAAGTTACTTTTGTATGTTCGTAGAATACCTTCGATCTTCCAGTTTTTGTAGTGAGACATGAAATGATAACACATCCAAAGTTGCAAAATATGTAGCGGGACGTAGAATACATAAGCTATATAGATAGAGTTACCCTCAAAGTTAAGATGAACACCACTGATACTAAAAGACCATAGCATTATTGGCCTCTGAGAAAAATAAATTTTCTGTCGTTCATTCTTCTTTTCAATACTCGTTGTATTTGGGTCGTGGTTGCATGTTGTTTTCCCTAAACTGAGTACACAAATTGAAAAGAGGGATTGGAATCAAGGGCTTAACGTCCAAAACTGTAACGTTATGATTTTGTTTCGCTATCGTTTTTGCGAACTTTATACCAAGTATAACATTTCAGACTAGACAGGGAGTTGCAGTGTTGCACCAATGCGAAGTATGATAAAACATGTTCATAAAGTAGATTGAGTTATACCAGTTTCCAGACTATACACTTACGTATCAAAATCGCACAATAGAAAGGATCATAGAACAGAGAAATAAAAATAATAAAGAAAGGTTTTTATTGCTATTTTTCGCAGAAAATATATGTTTATGTTGTGTTCTGTCTTTTACTAGTTTTTTGGAATAACCAAGAAGTTATAGCTTGTATTATAACGCTTTTCGAATTCAAATTTGATTTCTTGCTTGAATTGTTCTTCAAGCCGCGGATTAAGTTCTGTACTGGAGATGCTTTTGATATGCAGAAGAATGCTTTGCAATAACTTTTGCGGATTAGGAGTGCTCGGAATTTGCATACATTGGATTGTTTTCGCCTAATTTTCGTGGACAATGTGATAATTTTGTTGTGACTTGGTTTAGGATTTGCATGCTGGCTTTGGTGCTTGTTTGCTTGATCATCACTTTTCTGTAATTCTTGTGTTCATGCTTTGAGAATTGACTATTTTACACAAATTTGTCCTGGTTATATGGATATTGAACGCTTTGGGAACCAGTTGTTGCGTTGAGGCTCGTAAGGTTCACAAAGAGTAGATGTGAATAGCATCATTCAAGTTTAAGTCACGCCCGGATTTGTGAACTGCTTGATGTTCTTGTTTATGCATGTCGAGATTGATGTGATCAATATGTAGAGAAGGAAATCCCCTTCCTTTGAGAAGTAAGCCAGATAGTTTATGTTTCGTTGTTCCTCTCAATTTCAAAGCAAAAATGTTGTGTGTGCCATATTAGTCCTGTCCTTCATGCCCTGAATAGAATGTTGCTGAATTGGTATGCGTTGTAGTCTATGATTGTGCGAATATTTGGATTTCTGAAACTACCGAGTGGCGTTGTAGTCTGTTATTCTTTGATTTTGGCCATTGATTAATTAGTGGTTCTGTCTTTTTGTTCTTTCAGTGGATGAAGAGCCTAAGACAGCTATGCAATTTTCAGTTTTGTTTCGAGGCGCTTGAAGAGCAGTACATAGTAGAGACACGAAGCTCGCAACAACCATGTCGAAAGAAGATGGGTAAACTCAATCAGTTTGATTTTCCTAGGTTAACTATTAAGATCATTGTTATAGTCTGGCTGGTTTACTAGTTCCAAATAACTATTTGAAGGTTATATTTTCGGGATTGTACGTTATACTCCGGCCGGATAACTAGTTCGAGGATGATTGTTACTTTCGTGTTTGCATTAATGTGAAATTAGTTAGCCTTCATATACATTCGAATGCGAATGATTTGGTTTCTGAACAGGTTGTATGGTGTGGAACATTAGAACCTGACCAAATTGGTTCTTTTGTTTCATACAGCGCAGCGGAATATGAATCGTGCAGCGCCAGGACTTTCTTGAATCAATGCCGGTCTTACGCTTTACCTCTCTCGTGTTTATTTGATTGTTAAATCCATTCGACACTTCTGCTTTTCGATTTCTCCTTCGCCTTATGGTTTACTATCAAGGACTAGTGCTACATTTTGCTTCTCCGTTTTGCCCAAATCAGACGAAATGACCAAAATGATTTACCAGGACTAAATTATCAAAATTGAAATCGAACAAAACATATCGATTGTAAGGGTATTTACAGAAATACACGGTTCTCGCCCTTGCATTTGATATCAATGGTGGATAATAACAAATGTGTTTCTTATCTCGAATTAAAAAATGTGTTTCTTATCTCGAATTCAAAAATGTGTGACCATAAATCTTTTGATCGTTATGTGATTAAGAGAACAGAACTCGTAATTTGTTTATTTTTTCTCAAATCACAGCCCAAATATCTCAATCCTTCAAACTTGTCCAAGCAGACCCAAAAGACAGTTATGTTTGGCGGGTTTGAGCCCCGAACTTGCGCGCCCACCTTGGATAACCCGCCACGTCACCAGTTGCTCTAACAGGAGCCGTTGGATTTTATACGAATTTGCAACAGAAATGCCACCATCGGCTTTTAGATAACGCAAATGACAAAACTCAAAATAGTCAAACTGTTTCCACTTCCACTCCTCCATCCACTCTCACACTCCACCAGGACCGCCACTCTCTCCCTCCTCCTCCGCCGTCGCCACATGGCCACCGTCGCGTCATCCGATTCCCCCATAAGTCCGTCAAACACCCGGGTCGGGTGGATCGGGACCGGCGTTATGGGCCGGTCCATGTGCACCCACCTCCTCAAGGCCGGCTACGCCCTCACCGTCTTCAACCGCACCCTCTCCAAGGCCCAGCCTCTAGTCGACCTCGGGGCCCACCTGGCCGACTCCCCAAGCGCCGTCGCCTCCAAATCCGACGTCGTCTTTTCCATCGTCGGCTACCCCTCCGACGTCCGCTCCGTCCTCCTCGACCCCACCACCGGCGCACTCTCCGGACTCCGCCCCGGAGGCATCCTTGTCGACATGACCACCTCCGAACCCTCCCTCGCCGTCGACATCTCCTCCGCCGCTGAGTCCAAATCCTGCTCAGCTGTCGATGCCCCCGTCACCGGCGGCGACGTTGGCGCCAAGAACGGAACTCTCGCGATCCTCGCCGGCGGCGACGAAAACACCGTCCGCAAGCTAACCCCTCTGTTCTCCCTCATGGGCAAAGTGAATTATATGGGCGGCGCCGGAAAGGGACAGTTCGCGAAGCTGGCGAACCAGACGATCATCGCTTCCACGATGGTGGGTCTGGTGGAGGGTATGATCTTCGCCCACAAGTCCGGCCTCGACGTGGGTCTTTTCCTAGATGCGATCAAAGTGGGCGCCGCAGGGTCGAAGTTGCTGGATTTGCACGGCGGCCGGATTCTGAAGAGGGATTTGGAGCCGGGATTCTATGTGAACCACTTCGTGAAAGATTTGGGGATTTGCTTGAAGGAGTGCCAGAAGATGGGACTTGCTCTTCCCGGATTAGCCCTAGCTCAGCAGCTTTATCTGTCGCTGAAGGCTCACGGCGAGGGCAATTTGGGAACTCAGGCGCTTATTGTGGCGGTGGAGCGGCTGAATAATGTGTCACTTGAATATGCTCCTGCAAAATAATGACTCTGCAAGTGCAGTTTGAATCATTTCTTATGATGGTATCGATGCTTTTCTTCGATTTCTTGTTGAAATTTCAGTTTTTTTAACTTTGTACTGTGATGTTTCTTGCTCCAATGCTTATAGTGTGAAATGGTTGTCTCATAACAAATTAAGCAATTGTGTTTAGTTTCTTCAATATATGGTTGAAACTTTTGCAGACGTGGGTTAGGCTAGTTAGCTAGGGTAGTTTGTCCGTCTCCGAAGTTTAGATTGCTAGATGGCTTGTGTTTAACTGTATGTAAGCACCTGCTGGTGGGAAAGCTCAATGAGTTTATCAGCAAGTGCTTTTGTACACTTTCAGCTTGATGTTTGACCCAAAAAACTAACAAATGGTGATGCAAGTTTTAGCGGTTATTGTGAAACCAGTATATTGGTTCTTGCCTGGCATTAGATTGATTCTTGATTACCAGTTATAAACTTATAATGAGTGCGCCCTTTAGTGGCACCATTCTGTATTAGCTGGGACTTCAGGAATTTACAACTGGAGGTGAGATAACAGGTTCAGTCGTATGAGCTCAGTGCAAGCCTGACATGGGATCTCTGTTTGAAATATCAGTGAGGGCACGCACAGTGGTCACGCCTAAATTTAGGTATTTCTTGTGTTCATATGTTTCTTTTCCATATATCTTGTTAAGGCATGTCTGCATTCTTTCTGTCTAAGCTCGGAGAGAGTAAGTTACTTTTGTATGTTCGTAGAATACCTTCGATCTTCCAGTGTTTGTAGTGAGACATGAAATGATAACACATCCAAAGTTGCAAAATATGCAGCGGGACTTAAAATACATGAGCTATATAGATAGAGTTACCCTCAAAGTTAAGATGAACACCACTGATACTAAAAGACCATAGCATTAGATTGATTCTTGCCTGGCATTAGATTGATTCTTGATTACCAGTATGTTGATGCTAGCGGTTATTGTGAAACCAGTATGTTGGTTCTTGCCTGGCATTGGATTGATTCTTGATTACCAGTTATAAACTTATAACGAGTGCGCCCTTTAGTGGCTCCGTTCTGTATTATCTGGGACTTCAGGAGCGGAGGTCTGGCGGATATTGATCAAACAACCGCTAGATTCGGTTTCTTGCTCGAAGCAAAGATAAAACTCAAAACCAACATAACTGGTTTCATCCCTGAGGTAGAAGAAGTGGCTGACGGAGACCTAGTCTTCAGGGTCAGGATCCGGCAACTTTCGCCAGCGACGAGACCCATGATTTCGGCTGAAGATCGGGGTAGATCGGAATCTTTAGTTGGGTCTCTGAAAAAGGAACAGCAATTACAACGGAATTCTGGAATAACTCAGCCGGCGACGGCCGAGCTCGGGGAGGCAACCCACGCGACGGGGAAATGCGCCAGCTTTCGAATCGGCGCCATCGACTGCCCAGTCACTATCGGAGGTGACAGAATGTTTGGTCACGACAGGACTGAGACTGTGGACGCGAGTTACGGGATGCCTGCAAACCAACTCTCTGACATTATTGTCTCTGAAAGAGAGTATGGGACGCCACTTCAAACACAGGATGGGAAAGAAGGCGGATGCTCTAGTACAGAGGGGGCACAGATTTCATCAAGCAGGGAGTACTTTAATGGAACAAGCGTGGAGATATGCACTAGAAATGTTGCATATGTTTCTCTGGGTAAAAGCAAAAGGCTGGAATTAGATGGGAAAGATGGCGGTTGCTCGAGTACAGAGGGGGCACAGATTTCATCAAGCAGGGAGTATTTTAAAGGAACAAGAGTGGAGATATGCATTAGAAATGTTGTAGATGTTTACGATGGGAGTGGGCCCAACAAAAACAACTCTATTCCAATTAAAATCGATGGAGTGGTGGGCTTCGATACTCAAAGCCCAAATATTGGAGATAATATGGCGGTGACCGGGCCTACGGGTGCTAAACATTTATTTACAATTATAAATGGTAAATCGATGGGATGTGAATCTCATTGGGATGGGTCAGGTCGAGGCCCACTTATTCAAACAATTCACGGGATGAGACATCGGTTTCAATCCGAGATGGAACTTTTGTATACGTCTCGAACGTTGTCGAATCCGTGGGAGGATCTAAGGCAGCCGACTCAAAGGCACACCGTTGGAGGATATATGGCATTGGGCGATACCCAGCAACCACGGGCCACGGAGTTTTATACAGCAGGCATTCCAATTAGATCTTCCTTGAGCACATGCTCGAGTTTCTTTGGGAGATTTGGCCAACTTGACAGGGGCGGATTGCGGCTAAAGATTCTTTTACCACAAGATTTTGGCTCTGGTCAGAATCAACTAGAAGGGCCTATTCTGACGAAAGGCTGGCCTTCTAACCTCACATTCACTGATTCAGATAGTGAATTAGAGGAAGATCTGGAGAGCGAGGCCGATGATGACCGTGCCCGATCAACGAGCGGGTCGAGTGAGAAGAATCCAGCAGATCAATGGTGGAGAAGGATGGAGGCTCTAGGCATGGATCCGGCTCAATTGTTAGACAGCCACGACGATGATGTCTCCGCCCAATCTTCTGTTGCTGATGGGGAGGCGGAGGATTACTCTCAAGAGGAAAAAGAAACATCCGAAGATTTTGAATTATCCTGTGATGACCTCCATAACCTATTCAAGGATTCAAATTTGGAAGCACTGACAACGTTGGAGGAGGCATCTAATCACGAGGAGAAGTCTGTTACTAAGGCAATAGGAAAAAACGAGGAAATATTAAAGTACAGAAGAAGGAAAAAATTGGCAGGCCAATTAGCCAACAGTGAGGCACAACATCTAAATTCCAAATTTTTGTCTAAAATGAAGATTTCCTTGTTTCCGTTGAAAAGGTCTCTGTTACAAGAAGCGAAGAAAGGGAAAGTCAGAAGAGGCAAGAAAGAGGATGGTTTTAAGGGAGATAGTAAACTTCACAGGGGCAATACCAGTTTTAATGAAGATAATTAGCTGGAATGTTAGAGGATTGGGAAGTAGACGGAAGAGGCTAACTTTGAAAAAGCAACTCCAACGGTTACAGCCCGACATCATCATACTACAGGAAACTAAGAAAGCTATGATTGACAGAAGCCTTGTGGCTAGCGTGTGGGGAAGTAGATATAAAGACTGGATTTATGCCCCTGCACAAGGAAGCTCAGGGGGCATAGCTGTAATCTGGAATACAAAACACATGTCAGTAACCGAATCTTTGATCGGTGTTTTCTCTGCATCAATAAAAATTATGGCTCCCAATGGGATGGAGTGGTGGCTATCTGGAGTCTATGGTCCATGTAAAAATAGAGACCGAAGGGAGTTTTGGGAAGAATTGGCGGGACTTTATGGTATGTGTGGACCAAGATGGTGTGTAGGAGGAGATTTTAACGTGGTTAGATTTATAAATGAGAAATCAAACGGGGGGAGGTTGACTAAAAGCATGAGGGATTTTAATGATTTCATTAGAGAGACAGAACTCAAGGATTTGGAGCTGCTCAATGCACAATTTACTTGGTCAAACCTTAGAGAAGAACCTGTGTGTCGGAGATTAGACAGATTCTTATGCTCTACAGGTTGCGAAGATATCTTCCCTGAGGCTAGACAAACGGCCTTGGCTAGGGTCATTTCTGATCATTGCCCAGTCCAGCTAGACACCAACAAAGTGAAATGGGGGCCATGTCCTTTCAGATTTGAAAACATGTGGCTCCAAGATCCAGAATTCAGGAATAAATTCAAGGAATGGTGGCATTCGGAGCAAGTGGAGGGGTGGGAGGGTTATAAATTTATGATCAAGTTAAAAGCCATGAAAAAAAAGGTGCAAAGCTGGAGTAAGGAGAGCTTCGGTGAGATCGAAAAAATCTTGAAAGAAGTGGAAGCAAACATAGAGGAGTTGGACAGGAGAGAGGGGTTGGAAGGCTTAGATTTTGAAGCTAGAAGTAAAAGGGAAGAACTCCAAACCCTTGTAGGAGACTTGGCTTTTAAAGAAGAAGTGAAATGGAGGCAGAGAAGCAAAGTGGAATGGGCAAAGGAAGGGGATGGTAATACAAAATTCTTCCATCGAGTTGCAAATGGGAGAAGGAAGAGAAACTATATTGAGAGGTTAGAGTCGGTTGGAGGGGGAATAATAGAGGATGCAAAGAGATCGAAGAGCATATTGTCAACTTTTTCAAATCCTTATTCAGCAGTAACGACGAGGCATGTTGGGGTTTGGAAGGGATAAATTGGGTTCCAATAAACGCCCTTCAGGCAAGTTGGCTTGAGAGGCCTTTTGAGGAAATAGAAGTTCAAAGAGCAGTTTTCGATTGTGGAAAGGATAAATCACCAGGACCAGATGGCTTCTCTATGCAAATGTTTCAACACTGCTGGGATTTTTTGAAAAAGGATATAATGAAGATCATGGAGGAGTTCTTTGAGAAAGGGATAATAAATGCAGTGACGAACGAGACTTTCATTTGCCTGATCCCGAAGAAATCAGATTCTTTGAAAGTGACAGACTATAGGCCCATAAGTTTAGTAACTGGATTGTATAAAATTATAGCAAAAACACTGGCTTCAAGATTGAAGGAGGTTTTGGATACCACTGTCTCTCCGAATCAGGGGGCGTTTGTTAAGGATAGACAAATTGTGGATGCTGTCCTCATTGCAAATGAAGTGGTAGAAGAGGTGAGGCAGAAAAAAGAGAAGGGATTGGTGCTTAAGATCGACTTTGAAAAAGCGTATGATCATGTTGAATGGAGATTTCTGGAAGAGGTACTTCAAAGAAAAGGTTTTGGCAATAGATGGAGGAAATGGATGCAAGGATGTTTAAGCTCTGCAAATTTCTCCGTTTTGATCAATGGAAGGCCAAGGGGAAAATTTCAAGCTTCAAGAGGATTGAGACAAGGCGACCCACTGTCACCTTTTCTTTTCACCTTAGTAGTCGATGTTTTGAGCAGGTTAATGGAGAAGGCACAAGAAACCGATCTCATCAAAGGCTTGTGTATCGGCCAAGAAAAGGTGGAGATATCTCATCTTCAATTTGCCGACGATACCATTTTCTTCTTGACGGAAGACGAGGAAGTTTGGAACAACCTAATCCAAGTGCTTAATTTATTCTGTTCGGTCTCAGGATTGAAAGTCAACAAAGCTAAGTGCTTTTTGGCTGGGATAAATTCAGAGAGAGAAACTAAACAGGTTGGCAGTTTCTTGGGGGTGCGAGGTAGGGTGCTGGCCGATAAAGTATTTGGGGCTCCCCCTTGGAGGAAGGCCAAGAGCAATAAGGTTTTGGGACCCAGTGGTAGAAACAATGGAAAGAAGACTTCAAAGTTGGAAGAAGGCCTTCCTATCCAGAGGGGGTAAATTAACTCTAATTCAATCAGTCCTGGGAAGCATGCCGATTTACTATATGTCCTTGTTCAAAATTCCATGCGGGGTAAGAGGACGTCTAGAAAAATTAATGAAGGGGTTTCTATGGGAAGGCATGGAGGAAGGTAAGAAAACACATTTGGCTAAGTGGGAGTTAGTTACTAAAAACAAGGAGGAAGGAGGTCTAGGGGTGGGGAACTTGAGGTATCAGAACGAAGCATTATTGGCTAAGTGGTTGTGGAGATTCCCAAGGGAGTCACAGTCTCTGTGGCACAAGGTGATAAGAAGTAAGTATGGGCTACAAGCTAATGGATGGGATGCACTTCCTCAAAGGAGGGTTTCAAGTTGAAGCCCATGGAGAGACATTTCGAGTGGTTCTCATCAGTTTCTTAGAAGCTGCACGTTTGAGGTGGGCAACGGAGAGAGGGTGAGGTTTTGGGAGGATGGGTGTTAACAGGGGGACCGATGAAGGAGCAATTCCCCAGACTATTCCTACTTTCGAGGAAGCACAATCAAAACATCTCGAGCTTCGTGGAAGTTTCATCAAATCCTTTGAGTTGGAACTTTGATTTTAGGAGAAACTTGAATGAGATGGAGATAGTAGAGGTGGCCACATTATTACAGAAACTGGAAGAGGTTCGATTGTCTCCATTACAGATGGATAACAGAAGGTGGAAGCTGGAAGCTTCAGGTTTGTTCTCATGCAAATCTTATCGTTCACTACTGAGCAACAATGGGAGTGTGCACTATTTTCCACCCTACCCTCAGATTTGGAAATCAAAAGTTCCTCCGAAGGTTAAAATACTTGTATGGCTTGTGGCTAATGGGAATCTAAACACATGCGACAAAATTCAAAGGAGAAACCCTCTTATGTGCTTATCACCACATTGGTGTAGCCTGTGCAAAGCCAAGGAGGAGAGTGTAAATCACATCTTTCTTCATTGCTCCTACTCGATCCAATTGTGGTGGAAATTGTTTCAGGAGGTTAAAGCAAGATGGGTCATTCCTAAAGGGTGTTTCGAGCTACTAAGCACAAATGTTAATGCACTTGGAAAAAGGAAAAAATCCAAAGTTCTGTGGGGTTGCCTGGTATCGGCAATTTTCTGGAATATATGGCTGGAACGCAACAAGAGGATTTTTGAAGACTATACTGGAGTGGGGGCAGAAGAACTTTGGGGGAGAGTAAAATATTGGGCAGCTTTTTGGGCTTCGGTCACTAAAGAGTTTAATAATGTTTCTCTATCTCAAATACTATGGGATTTGTTAGCAGCAGTTAAGTGAGCTTGGTCTAGAAATGGCTGCTGTAGCCAAATTCTAATGGTTTTTTCCTTGTTATACAGTTAGTGGATTTCTTATCCACTTCTGTGTTATTCTCTTTCTTTAATAAAATTGTTTCTTCTCAAAAAAAAAGGAGTTTACGACTGCAGGTGAGATAACAGGTTCAGTCGTATGAGCTCAGTGCAAGCCTGACACGAGATCTCTGTTTGAAATATCAGGGAGGGCACACACGGTGGTCACACCCAAATTTAGGTATTTCTTGTGTTCATATGTTTCTTTTCCATATATCTTTTTAAGGCATGTCTGCATTCTTTCTGTCTGAGCTCGGAGAAAGTAAGTTACTTTTGTATGTTCGTAGAATACCTTCGATCTTCCAGTTTTTGTAGTGAGAGATGAAATGATAACACATCCAAAGTTGCAAACTATGTAGCGGGACATAAAATACATAAGCTATATAGATAGAGTTACCCTCAAAGTTAAGATGAACACCACTGATACTAAAAGACCATAGCATTAGTGGCCTCTGAGAAAAATAAGTCTTCTGTCGTTGAGTTTCATGTCATTCTTCTTTTCAATACTCGTTGTATTGGGGTCGTGGTTGCGTGTTTTTTCCCTAAACTGAGTACACAAATTGAAAAGAGGGATTGGAATCAAGGGCTTAACGTTCAAAACTGTAACGTTATGCGTTTGTTTCGCTATCGTTTTTGCAAAGTTTATACCTAGTATGGCATTTTAGACTAGACAGTGAGTTGCAGTGTTGCACCAATGCGAAGTATGATAAAACATGTTCATAAAGTAGATTGAGATATACTAGTTTCCAGACTATACACTTACGTATCAAAATCACACAAAAGAAAGGATCATAGAACAGAGAAATAATAAGGGAAACAATTTTATCTGGATTTTACTTGTTACACAAGCCTTCACCCGTAGCCATCTTAGGAAAGAACAGATGAAGGAGACATTCCGTAACTTCATCCTTGCAGTGTATACTTCTTCCCTGTGAATGCTTGCAATTTTGGCTTTTCGGCCTTATGAGACTGCTCTTGGCTGCTCTTCTCTGCGGCAACTTTTGGGGTTTCATTCGTGGGACAGTTGGCATTTGAACTAATTTTACCAAACACGAGCTTTCCATTAGATCGACCCGTTGACGCAGAAGTTGATGACATAGAGCCCTTGGTTCCGTTCTCACTCTCCTGTTGGTTCTGCTCGAGAATTTCAGTAGAGGAAACCGGTGCAACCGATTGGTCCAATGCCGGTTTTCCATCCAATCGTCTTGCTGAACCGGTAAAGGGGATGAATTTCGGTATCTTCTCAGACGGTTCTTCATCCTTTTTGGCCTCTGTCGGTCTCTCCTTAGACTGAGTAGATGGCACTGCTGGCTTTTGAGGCTCCACATAATCAAGTGGAGGGGCAAAATCAACCTCGCAGTCGGTATCAATTATGCAGATTGCAGGGGACGGCTTTGTTTCAATTACGTCGATGTAGTACTCCTCATTGTTATAAGGGACCATGAAGGTATCACCAGTGGCTAAACAAGAGTAGCTCCTCAGTGCAGTCTCCAAGACGTCTTTCGGGTCTGAGACGTCAAGAAATTCCATAGTGTGAGGCTGCAACTTCATGTATGTTCCCTTCACAAGGCTCTTGTTTTTCACCTGAACAAGATCACCGTCTTGCAAAAGCAACTTCTTCATCATCCAGTAGGGTAAAAACGTTAGGCCCTCATCGGCAACAAATTCCAACACCCCGCAGTGAGCAACTCGTCCAGAATTACCGGGATTACTCAGTTCAAACAACATGGGGTAATTGACCTGTAAATTCGACAAAAGGCGATCGAGGGCTGACAGCGGCATTATGATTTTATCGCCCTTTTCGAGATGTTCCTTGTTGATGACGGAAACAGGGTAACAACGGTAAAGCTGCTCAAAGGAACTAGAATTACTGCTAGGTTCTTCAGGATCGCTGCCAGGCTCTTCGGGCTTACATCCAAGTTCTTCAACATATCCACCACGGAATCCGGAATCACTGACATGATCTTCTGAAGAATTCCTACTAAGTTCTTCAATATATTCGCCATAGAAGTCGGAATCACTGACATGATCTTCAGAAGAATTACTACTATGGTCTTCAGAAGAACTACTGCTATAGTCTGCGAAGGATTCACCGACATCTTCAGAATCAGATGAATCTCTGCTGTAGTCTGCAGCATCAACAAAGTCGTCATCAGATGAATCGCTGAAGTAGCCTTCAGAAATCATATTTACTGCGTCCATGAAGTCGCAGCTGGATCGTCTCCTTGTGATTTTGATGGATAGATTGGCTGAGGTAATTCTGGTTTCTTGCGGCCTAAGGAACTGAGACTCTAAACAGCTAGGGCAAAGAATAGTGCTTTGTCTGATGCGAATTGATGAGATGTCTGAAAACGAATGCGGCCTCCCTTGTACTTATACACAATTCAAAACCAAATCCTGTAAGGATAAGAAAACCCTAATCTCACTGGAGAACCCTAATATTTGAAGAAAAAAGAGAATGAAGTCTTAATCTTAGCCGTCCATAATCCTTTAATTGGTAGCTAATCTTCTAATCGTAGCCGTTCGTAATTCTTTTAGGGCTTTTCGCCATCTGATAATTAAGTAGCTAAACAAACCTGGTATGGAAGGTGCGGTGGTGGATTATTTCACTAAGTTATTTGATTCAAATGGTGGGGAAAATTTAAATATGGTGTTGGACCACATTACACCCAGAGTTACCGATGCGATGAATGCTGATCTTCTTCTTATTGTCTCCAATGAGGAAGTTAAGGAAGCACTGTTTCAAATGCATCGGACCAAGTCCCCAGGTCCGGATGGCATGTCTCCTGGATTCTACCAGAAACATTGGGATGTGGTAGGCGTTGATGTTTATGATGTCGTTCGTTCGATGCTGCAGTCAGGTTGCATGCTCTGCAAAATTGACTATACGCATGTTACCCTGATTCCGAAAGTAAAGAATCCAACGGAGATGTCTCAAATGCGTCCCATCAGTTTCAATCAAGGATAGATAGAAAGTCAACTGTTGTAATCCTATATATTAGGCACCTTCTTGTATACTGCCTATTATGAATGAATAACCAAATTCACAGAACGCTCAATTTCAAGATGGTACCAGAGCACCGATCCTGGTGACTCTAAAACCCAAATACGCTTCCGCCACGACAAGTGTCCACAACACATATTCCTTCCAACAAGCAACGCCACCATAGCAATGGCAGAATCAACTATTTCTTCCAGCAAACCAGTGATCAAACCAGTCGAGAACTCTACTGAGATCTCTGACCCATATGCACTGCATCATTCGGATCATCCGAATCTTGTTCTTGTCTCCAAACCACTGGAAGGAGATAATTACAGTACATGGAGTCGTGCCATGCGCATCAGTCTAAGCGCGAAGAACAAGATTGGCTTCATCACATAAGACATTGAAGCACCAGCAGAAACCGATCCAAACTTCCCTTCATGGCAGCGCTGCAACGACATGGTAATATCCTGGATCCTAAATTCTGTACACTCAGATATTGGGAACAGCGTCATGTACACAAACACGGCAGCGAAGGTCTGGGAAGAATTAAGAGAACGTTTCTCTCAAGGAAACGACTCGAGGATTTACCAAATAAAAAGGGACATCGTGGAGCATAGACAAGGGCAGCAGTCAGTTGCTGTCTATTACACTAAATTGAAGGCTATGTGGGATGAACTTTCCTCCTACAACGAGGCTGCAACCTATTCTTGTGGAGGATTGGAAACGCTCAGAAAGAGAGAAGATAAGGAAAAAGTCATGCAATTCCTCATGGGATTGAATGACAACTATTCAGCCATTCGTGGCCAAATTCTTTTGATGCAGCCCCTCCCTGATACAAGGCGGGTTTATTCTCTCGTTCTCCAACAAGAAAAGCAAGTTGAAGTGTCTCACAATCGAGATAGCATCAGCCATCATGCCATGCACGCTGCGAATAATGGAGAATTGACAAATCAAGCACATCAGGCTCAGAAAAGGAGAACTCCACTCCACTGCTCCTACTGTGATCAGGACAGACATAGCATTGAAACATGCTATTATTTAAATGGTTTCCCTCCCGGCCACAAGTTCCATGGGAAAAATGTCAAACCTCCCAACCAAAGACGTTCCAATGCCAATCATGCAAAGGCGACAGACGCAAACAAACCTGCAGACAGCAGCTCCAAGTCCTCTTCCTCTATTGATGGTCCAAGGTTTACCACTGAAGAATACAACCAAATCATGGCAATGCTTCGGAAAAACAACGATGGTAACGCACACCACTTCGCGAATGTTGCAGGTATTGTTACACCTTCATGTGACGTGAATCCGGTTGCTCCACATTCCCATTTAGGTTGGATAATTGATAGTGGAGCGACAGATCATGTGACAGCTTCCTCTCCATTGCTGAATCCATCATATTTGCCTTGTACAGCCACCATTCAAACCCCTGATGGTAGTCACACAAGTATTGAATCGATTGGTTCACTCCAAGTCACACCAAATCTTAAACTTGACCATGTGCTCAAAGTGCCTAAGTTCAAAGTTAACCTCTTGTCTGTCAGTAAATTGACTCGAGCGTTAAACTGCATAGTGATATTTTTCCCTGAATTTTGTGTTGTGCAGGACGCGTCTACGAGGAGGATGATTGGCCTGGGCAAGCGACATAACGACCTCTATTACCTCACACCAGAACAGAACCCTAAGCTCGCCTACAACATCCTCCACCATTCCAACCTTTGGCACCAACGACTAGGACACCCATCCATTGGACCCCTCCAAGTTCTTTCAAAAACGACCTCAGACATCCATTTTGATTCAAAGCATGTGTGTGAAATTTGCCCTTTAGCAAAACAAACTCGCTTGTCATTTCCATCCAGTTATATTTCTACACTTGCACCTTTTGATTTAATCCATTGTGATATTTGGGGACCCCATCGAATAAATTCACATTCCGGTGCTCGTTATTTCTTAACAATTATTGATGATTTCACTAGATATACATGGATTCACCTTATGAAATTCAAATCCGAGACACAAACACTATTGCAATCATTTATTTCTTGGGTACAAACACAATTCAATTGCATAATTAAAACTCTTCGAGCCGACAATGGCCCAGAATTTGTCTCCATGCATCCATTCCTTGAAAGCAAAGGTATCAATTTTCACCATTCTTGTCCATCAACCCCACAACAAAACGGGGTTGTCGAGAGAAAGCACCGTCATCTTCTAAATGTCGGTCGAGCTCTTCGTTTTCAAGCTAACCTACCATTAGAATTTTGGGGAGAAAGCATACAAACTGCTTGCTATTTAATTAATCGATTACCAACACCTCTACTTTCCCATCAAACACCATATGAACTCCTTTATAAAATGGCACCCACATACACACACCTACGTTGCTTTGGGTGCCTATGCTATGCTACCAACCTTTTGCCCATGCATAAATTTGACCAACGAGCACGTCGTTGCATTTTTGTAGGATACCCTCTAGGTCAAAAGGGATATAGGGTTTATGACCTCTCTACACGCAAATTCTTTTCATCCAGGGATGTTGTTTTCTATGAACATATATTTCCTTTTGAAACTCTACCACCTCAGTCCCAACCTGATGCCACAGTCCTTCCCACACCACAACTCCTAGACTTTGATAACAACCCTACACACTTCCCCACGCCAAGCCCTAATGAGCCTATAGCTGCATCCCCAACCATCCATGCCTTTGATATCCCTCATTCACTAGCACCACCTACCTCAGCCCCACCTACTCCAGCGCCACCCACTTCAGCGTCTACCTTAAACACCCCATCGCCATCATCTCCACCACTTGGCTTGTAGCCGACACCACCACCAAACCCCCCACTTCGTCATTCTTCACGTGTACCCAAACCCAATGTTCGACTTCACGATTTCCACCTTTACCATGCATCCACTGTCGCCCCCAGTCCTTCATCCTCCTCCACAGGTACACGATTTCCTTTATCTACATGCCTTTCTTATGCACAACTTTCGACTCCTTATAGGAGTTTCATTTGTAATGTCACTACATATAGAACCTATGACTTTTGAGCAGGCAAAAACTGATCCCAAATGGAGAGAGGCCATGGCTGCTGAGCTCTTAGCACTCGAACAGAATAATACATGGACCATAACATCCTTGCCTCCTAGCCATCGTGCCATTGGTTGCAAATGGGTTTATAAAATCAAATACCACTTAGATGGGACTGTTGAAAGATATAAAGCTCGCTTGGTCACCAAGGGATTTACCCAACGTGAGGGAATTGATTACCGCGAGACTTTTACTCCCGTAGCTAAACTCACAACCGTACGATGCTTGCTTGCCGTTGCCGCTGTTCGCAATTGGTCCTTCCACCAAATGGACGTTCAAAATGCCTTCCTTCATGGCGACTTACTTGAGGAAGTTTACATGCACTTACCTCCTGGGCTCCGTCGACAGGGGGAGAATCAAATGGTTTGTCGACTCAACAAATCCCTTTATGGCCTTAAGCAGGCATCCCGGAGTTGGTTCCAGAAATTCTCCAATGCAATTCGCCAAGATGGCTTCCAGCAATCCATGGCCGACTACTCATTATTCATAAAGGTATCAGGTGATTCTTTTACTGTGGTACTCATATATGTAGATGACATGATTATCACTGGCAACGACGATTCAGCCATAGCCAATCTTAAAGCTTTCCTCCATACCCAATTCCGTATAAAGGATCTTGGTCATTTACGATATTTCCTTGGTGTTGAGGTTGCTCGTTCAGCCACTGGGATCTCAATATCACAACGAAAGTACACATTAGATATATTGGACGAAGCAGGCCTACTTGGGGCAAAGCCGGTACAAACTCCCATGAAGGAGAATGTCAAGCTCTCGCCCATAGATGGTGAACTGCTCAAGAATGCCTCTTACTATCGGCGGCTAGTTGGGAGGCTCATATACCTCACCATTACAAGGCCAGAAATCACTTACTCAGTACACATTTTGAGTCAATTCATACAACACCCAAGAAAACCTCATCTTAACGCAGTCCATCGTCTTTTACGATATTTGAAAGGGTCACCTGGGCAAGGTTTGTTCTTTCCATCCAAAGGCAACTTGTTGTTAACCGGTTTCTGTGATGCTGATTGGGCTCGTTGTTCCATAACGAGACGATCAGTGACAGGCTATTGCATATTCCTTGGAGGAGCACTTGTATCATGGAGAACTAAGAAACAAGGTACCGTTTCACGTTCCTCGGCCGAATCAGAATATCGGGCCATGGCGTCTATAACATGTGAGCTCACATGGATGCGATATTACTAAGAGATTTGCAGGTTACACACCACAAGCCAGCTCGACTCTATTGTGATAATCAAGCGGCACTTCACATAGCTGCAAATCCGGTGTTTCATGAACGCACCAAACACATTGAGATAGACTGCCATATTGTTCGTGAACGAATCTTGTCAGGCGCCATTACAACAACACATGTTTCCTCTGCCAATCAACTTGCTGACATATTTACTAAGCCACTTGGACAAGGAATGTTCCACCCTATACTTGGCAAGTTGGGTGTTCATGACATTCACTCTCCAACTTGAGGGGGAGTATTAACGGAAAGATTGGTTCCTTAATTGTAGGAATATGTTCTGCTTTATATTAGGATCATATCATGGAGATTATGTAGATTGATTTCATGTATAAATTACCTAGTATAGATAGAAAGTCAACTGTTGTAATCCTATATATTAGGCACCTTCTTGTATACTGCCTATTATGAATGAATAACCAAATTCACAGAACGCTCAATTTCAAGAAGTATCATGCCGAAGATTATTAGTCCTACTTAGAGTGCTTTCATACCGGGAAGATTAATTTCTGATAATACTTTAGTGGCGGCAGAAATAGCACATCACATGCATAAACGTAGCTCAGGCTGGAACGGAGTTATTGCTTTAAAGCTAGATATTAGTAAGGCATATGATCGGTTGGAATGGAACTTTTTGGAGTCTATAATGAAATGCATGGGTTTCTCTGAGGAGTGGATTCGATTGGTGATGATTTGTGTGTCCATGGTCACATATTCTTTTAAAGTAAATGGTGAACCAGTGGGTTTTGTTTCTCCTAAACGTGGTATTCGACAACCTTACTTATTTGTGTTGTGTGCCGAAGGTCTCTCGGCGGTCTTACGAAATGCGGAGGAAAGAGGACTTAATAAAGGTGTTGCGATTTGTAAAAATGCTCCAAGTATAAGCCATCTCTTGTTCGCAGACGACAGCTTTCTATTTGCTAGGGGCACTCTGGATGAATGTCAAAATATAAAATCAGTTTTGACGAAGTATGAGCTTGCATTGGGGTAATCGGTTAATTTTATCAAGAGTTGTGTGGCTTTTAGCCCTAATCTCAAGGAGTGTGATCAACAACTATTGGCAGATTGCTTGGGTGTTCGAAGGGTGCAGGCCCATGATAGGTATCTTGGGTTACCGGTTTTTGTGGGTAAATCTAAAAAGGAGACTTTCGCCTATGTTAAAGAGAGATTATGGAAAAAACTGCAGGGGTGTCGTGGAGGCCTTTTGAGTAGTGCAGGGAAAGAATTGCTAGTCAAGACCGTGGCTCAGGCATTACCAATGTATACTATGCAGTGTTTCCTTCTTCCAAAATCTTTTTGTGAGGAGTTGAATATGATGATAGCCAAGTTTTGGTGGAGCGGAGAACCCGGGAAGCGCAAAATTCATTGGGTGAACTGGCGAACCTTATGTAAATCAAAAGAGGAAGGGGGTTTGGGTTTCAGAGATCTCTATGCTTTTAAGATTTCTCCTCTTGCGAAACAGGCGTGGAGATTTATCATGCAGCCTCATTCGTTAGCTTTCACTTTTTTCAAAGCACGGTACTTTCCTTCCATAAATTTCTTGAATGCACCGGTGAAGACAAACACATCGTTTGTATGGCGTAGTGTTGCAGCCACTCGTCCAGTGATCTCAAAAGGTCTACGTTGGCAAGTGGGAGATGGATATTAGAATTTTCTATATCCTTTAAGGGTTAGGATTTAGGGTTTATTAGAGTTTTCTATATTCTTTAAGGATTAGGATTTTGCTTAAGTTTTCACTATGTATAATAGAGCTTGTAATTTAGTTTTAATATAAGTCAGTGTAGTCTCTTAGGGTTTTGTAACCCTTTCGGCATTCTCGTTTGTTTAATAATATTTCTATTATTTTGTTAGTATTGTTCGTTGCGCACTCTGATATTTAACTGGTTCGTGTATAAAAATTTGGGGCGATAATTGGTTGCCGAGAGAGAATTATTTCAAAGTTTTCACTCCCCCTCCATTGCCGCAACTACTTGAGACCACGGTGGAGAGTTTGTTTTTGGATGGGACACGAAATTGGAACAAAAACATGCTTCATTGATTGTTTAGCTTAGAAGAAGTGGAAATTATTCAAAGCATTCCTCTCAGTATTCAACGTATGTCTGATAAACAAGTTTGGCATTACGAAAAAAATGGTATTTTCTCGACGAATAGTGCTTATTACTTGGCAAAAAGAGAGGTGGATGCTGGAACGTCGGGTTCGAATTCCCAAGATTCGTTAATCTTGAAGAAATTATGGAATGCTTGTGTTCCTGGTAAGGTAAAAATATGTGTTTGGCGGGGGTGCTTGGATTCTTTACCTACTAGAACAAAACTTGCCAGAAAACGTATTTTCAAGTAAACAGAATGTTTATTTTTCTCTAGGCAGCCAGAAACTGTCGAGCATGTGTTGAGAGATTGTTCCATGGCTCGGGCAATATGGTTTGCAAGTTTGGGCATTAGAGGCCGAGATAATTCATTAGTATGTTTCAGTGATTGGGTAACTAAGCTTGCTCATGATTCCTCCAAGTTGACTTTTGACTTGGTGTTGACAACTATATGGAGCATTTGGAGAGCTCGTAATGATCTTTTGTGGAAAGGTACAATCTCTCATCCGCGTGATGTGGCTTTGAGAGCCGAGGAATGGATGCTTGCTTTTAGGCATTATCACTCCCCTAGCAAAATGGTATCGATGCAAACCATACAAAAGTGGTATCCTTCTGACATAGGTTTCTTAAAGTGTAACTTTGACGGCGCTTGGGATGAGAGATCGAGGAAAGGTGGCGTTGGAGTGATTATTCGCAACTGTAGTGGTGAATTTTTGGTAGGTCTCGCGGCTGTTGAGGAAGACATCAGTTCGACGCTACAAGAAGAGCTCTTGGCAGCTCGGCGAGCCTTGCAATTTGCTCAGGAAATAGTTTCATGTAGCTCGGGGATCTCTTTCGAAGGGGACCCTTGCAGCATTGAATGGGGAGGGCGAAGATCACTCCATTTTGGGTCCTATCATCAATGATAATCGTATTCTCCTGCGTAGTTTTGTTCATGCAACGACAAGCTTCATTCGACGTGAGGGGAATAGTGCTGCCTATCGTTTGGCTCGGGCGGGTTTGCGAGGAACATGGAAGTCGATCTGGGCTGAGAACCCTCTTGATATGCTTGCTGATGTCCTGATTGAGGAGAGTTCTCATCGCAACCTTAGTTGATGTTGATGTAATTTTAATGCTTTTTGAGGATAGGTAACTATAGTAAGTTGTTTGGTGTGGGACACTATTTTTCCTTTGATCGGGTTGAAATTCTTGACAAGGTTTTTTATCGAGGCCCTTTTATGCACACTATCCTCTTGCTTTGTATGTTTTCTCCTTTTTAATGAATATCATACTTCTTTAAAAAAAAAAAAAACCGAATCCTTTAGGAATTATGAAATCTAATCTCACTTGGAAACCTGAAATTAAGTAAAACGAATAAACAAAGAGTGGCTTTGTGTACACCCAAAACTCGTCTCTAGACGCCCAAAATTTTGTATTAAAAAAATGTATAATTCACACGTGTTTGAGATTAATAATTTGACTTTTGATTAAAAAAAAAAAAAAAAAAAAAAAAAAAAACCTTG